ATTTTATTAAAAAATATTCAACAAAGTTTAAAATAATTTTCGTAAAATGAGGCTTTACCGCGTTTAATTCACGCGCAGGGGGGGAAATCGCCGGTTTACAACTGCGTTTCCCTCCTGGTGGCCTGTTGTTGTGTGCGCGAGGCCCACTTCCCTCTTGGCCCATTTACCCCCCCAAGGATGCTTGATCTCATTTATACACTTAGACTTCTTCTCATCTTTCCCATGTGGGACTTTATTTGACACACATATTGCATTATTTCACAACACATACAATATATAAAATCTGTCAAAAATTAAAAGCTACATTATTTACATGTGTTTTTAAGTCAAATGTGGTATTTTCGTCTGGGTAAACTAAAATGATTTTACATAAATAACGTCCTTAATATATAATACATCCCATTATTGTGAAGAGTAGGGACAGTCCACATACACATGCTTCTTCCAATTTATAACGTTCTTTTGGAGCTACATATGCTCTCTATATATGGCCTATAAGACTGACCATAAATAAAACCATGTAATGAAAATGAAAATATGGCCAAAAAGCGAAATTGTACTTTTTCAAGAGACAAAATATTACATTCTTCTCATCACTAATGTATTGTAAGGGGTTACTTTATGAGCTATAAAATGTATAAAGAACAATGATCATTGATGTGTGATAAGGAATTTTGAGGATCCAACTTTTAATAATCACAAGCAAACGTATTTTCCTTAGCTCATTTATTGCATCAACTTTTTTTGAGAACAGCTTTAATGTTTGAAAAGTCTATTAAGCCAAGTGTTTAATGAGTAGTGCTCTTTAAATAAACATTGTTTGACCAATAATGAGTGCATTAATAAGGAACGAAATAGCAAATAAATAATTTAATATCTTCTTGAATTATGAAAATGACTTGATTTATGAAATATGTGGGAAAAAAACTTTTTGTGACATTTATTGTGAAATATGTAAAATATTACATGGCCGCTTGGTCATTAAAAACATTAGACAATTAACTTGGGCATAAATTAAGGAAGAAGCATAAAAGTGCTACTTACAACACCATTCTGTCATGAGAAACATGTCACATAAAGATTGAAACAATTTAACAAATGATCTTATTTATTCTTTATTAATTTATAATTAAATGTTTGCTTAAGGGTGCTTTTTTAAGATTATTAATTTTATATAATTTAATTATATAAAATAAAGTATTCTCGCTATCTACCATCACCAAGTATAATTCAAGCTCAACTTTTTGTTTGGTTGTTAATCAAAATATATTCTGATTGGGAAAAGTAATCTATAGGTCCTTATGGTTTTTTTTATTTTGAATTAAGTTCTTAAAAGTTTTTTCCCCTTTTTATGGGATCCTTCGACTTTCTACCATCATTTCCTTTAATCCTTCTGTTAAATAAATGCTAACACCGTTAAAAATTTCAGTTATGGAGCACTGACCACTGCATCTTCTCTTGCCTTTCTCCTCTCCTTCATCGTCCTTGTTCGGAGAAATATGTATGGGTCACATAATATTCCCAAGGCCTCCATAAAGTGAAAATATAGAAAACGAGAAATAACTCCTAGACGAGGGGCATCTTCCATCAATGAATCATAATAAAAACCAAAGCAAATTGGACGGAGCTTGTCGCACTTATATCTCACACCCAAAACTTATCCTCTTTTGTTCATTTCCTCAATCAAATTTGCTAAAATATGCTAACAGGTTACCATTTCGTGACAATTATGTAAAATCTAATTATTCTTGTGAGGACTCAAATAAAAAAGAGATATAGAAGAAGGACCTTACATGTGACATGATTGTTGTATATATGCACTGTATGTGTATAGGTCTCCCCTGTTTTAGTAATAGGAAAACAGGGCTATTTTGAGGCACGATATCTGTAAGTGATGGAACAAATTGAACATGGCTACAGCTACTGCTTTTCAAATTTCTGTATTGAGGAGAATTAGAAATTAAAGGCGGGTTGTCTGTATTAGTATTATTTCCAGAAGAGAGTAGTCTTCCATCTCCCACACTTTCTGCTAGAATATCATAGTCAAATCCCGAAGCTCCAACAGCAGCAAATAGATCACTACTCCATTTAGTTCACAGTTCGAATAGGTCTAGGGACATTGATTTCTTTTGGTTCATAGATACCTACACACATCTAAAGTAGTTGGTTTCATTAATATTCATTAAACTAAGATGTCCACAAACCCCAGAAAGTTAAGGTTAGACCGGAACATGATTCAACAATAAATATTGTCTGATAATGCTGGATGGTTCCAAACAGGGGTCAAGCTAAATGATGAAGAGGCTAGACGGTAAAGGATAATATGTCCAAGGAGGGAAGAATGCTTGGTCAGACAGCTATGGTGGGAAGGGAGAGGAGGAGATGAGTGGGTGAGTGATTCCTACCGGCAATATTTAACAGTGTGAGCAGATGTTTAACAGTAAGGACTAACACATTTAACCATAAAAAATTAAAGGATCTAATAAAAAGAAAAAAAATCTTAAGGACCTAATTCAAAATCAATCCAAACTATAAGGATCTGCAAATTAATGATCCCTAATGGCTATACGAGTGTTTAAAGGATTCATCGCAACTATATAAACAAGTAGCGGGTCTATCTGAAGTAATTTAATTAAGCTATTTTTAATGTAAGGAACAATTTTAATAATTTGCAACGTAATCTACTTCAAAAGTTTCTTGGTAGATATATATCACACATAGGACTACTCAGACTTTATCATCATCAAAATAAGGTTGTTGGGTTATTCGGAAGGGCCCTTGAGCCCCTCCCGCATAGTTCTCCATCATTCTTAATTTATCTAAGATTAATATTTATGCTCTTTTGGTAACACCCCTATACTGAATCCTCTTCTTCTTCCTCTGTTCTACAAGTCGCTGCCATGCGTGTGTGCAGAGAGCCGTCCCCCTTCTTTCTTCTTCTGTGGTGCGTCGGTTGTGTGGGGTATGCTCAAAACTCTTCTCCTTCCTCTGTTCTTCAGATTTCTACCATATATGTATGTGTGCAGAGCGTTGTCTTTACCCACTCTGCTATGTTGTGTGTGTGGTTGGGATTTGAGAGCTTTGGTCCTTCTTCCTTTTCGATTTTTCATAAGGTTATACTTTGGGTCTGAAAATTTTCTTTTCTGCAGCTGAACGTGGAAGGAGGGGACGAATTTGGGGTTTCACTTAGTCGAAGCATTGATGGAGGAGATCCACTTGGCATTCTATAGTGTTTTTCTTAAATTTTGCAAGAGACATGAGGTAGAGTGCGTGCTGTTTATTCCGCTTTTGTGATGAATTTTGTGATTTTATGAAGACGCTGAATTGAGGAATGCTTTGGACGCTATATTGATGCTTGTTTTATGATTCATTTTCTTAAATTTACACGAACTGTTCGCTGAAATGTGTGATATATGAATTCAAGGTCTAAGGTAATGGAAGACGTCTCTTTTAAGCTTTATGGGGTTACAGTTACAAGTTAAGATGATATGGAGTAAGTTGCAAATTTTGAAGTACACTTTGAGGCTACGGATGATTATCATTTTATTTTCGGTTAAATTGAATGTGAGTTTAGTGTATGTCTTTGAATTGAGGACTAGCTATAAATTTTTCTTTAACGTAGTATAGGGCATTTCAAGCAAAGGAATCTTGGCAAGAAATGTTTAAAACGTTTATTGTAGGGCTGGGAAATGCTGCACATCAGTGAATAGTGTCCCAATATATAAATAAATTTTCTTTTATCAAAAGATTGTTTTGAATAACTCTAACTCTAATGTCGATTATTTCCCTATTTGAAGTATATTCATTATATTGGCTTTGGGAGCAGAGTTAGATTTATTCTATAATTGATTAACCCCATGTTTTAGACATAATGATATTATTTCATTTTATCACAGTGAAATATTTGATCTATGCGATGCACGTTTATGGTGAAAAGATTTTTTTAATGGAAAATATGACGGGTTATGTTGAAAAGAGGTCAAATGATTGAATTCAGAATGTTGGTTGTTAACGGCAATCCCATTACTCCTAGCTAATATGCGACAGACAACGCACATGTATTCATGCTTATTATCCATTCGAATAAAGCCTTACTAAAGAATGAGTTTTGAGATTCTTTTTTTTTTTATTGATTTCTATAAATAAATTGTTTTATCATATAATTGATTTTCTATTTAATAATTTTGTATATAAGTCCCATAACATAGAAATTGAGGATACTTGATACGTGAATATCATATATATATATAGTCAAAATGTTTACTACATATTGGAACTTCCTTAGTTAAGAAATAAGTGCTTTTCACTGGTAAATTTTTTTGGTCTCAGATGGCATAGCTGGCCTTGTACCTCTAATTTACCAGTGAAGAGCTGTTGAAGCTTGGAAATTTGTTTTGATCACTCTTGGTCCTTGAGCTCTTCACACACACACATGTAATATCTCAAATTTTGTGGATTTTATTAAATCATGACGAAGGAAAATTTTTTTAGAGAAATTGTTGAGGTTAAGACACTTAAAATATGGTCTAAATGATTATAAAGGTAAATTTGCAAATTTAAGACCTATTTTTCAGAAAATTCAAAAAAAAAGTTAGAGGCTTACATTTGAGCCGAAAATTTTCAAAAACTTATTTTATGAGGTAAAGAACCTAATTAAGGCAAAACATCTTTAAAATGAGTTAATGATTAATTTCTGAAATCAAATGCTATTTTCTTGAAAAATTCAAGAAAAATAGTTGGAAATTGATTTTTGACCTGGAATTTTTATGGAAATTATTTTACGTCTCAAGGAAACTATTAGATAAAGAAAATCCATATAAAATATTGTGGAATAATTTCTGAATTTATTTTATAATTTCAGAATTATAGAGGAAGTATAGACTTAGTAATGAGGAATTAAGTGAAGGGCATAATGAACATTTCACATGCCCTTAAAGGCCAACAGCCTGCCTTCTTCTCGGTTTCGTCTGAGACCGAAAGATGAGAGAGAGAGAGAGAGTTTAGAGAACCGGGGGAGACCTAGAGAAGGAGAGGGTGACGGAAGAGTGACCGGAGGTGGTTTCTGTTGGATGCAATCCGTGCTGTCAACCAAGGTGAGTCTCCAGAACTTCCTTCTACTCGTTTCCTTCGATCTGTGGCTTAATAAGGTGCAATGATTGAGTGAGAAAGTCTGGTTAGTGAGAGAAAGTAAACGAATGGAGAGGAGGATCGGTGAGTTTATGTTTTATGATAAGATTTAAGCGTATGATGGTAGTTTTGCATGTGTGTTCTTCGGTCTAAATGTTCTTCTCCTCGTCTCTGTTTTCTGAATCCGAAGCAGGGGCTCAATTTTTGGAGCTATGGATGCTGGCTTCTGAGGTTTTGGGAAGAAAGAAATTTGATGTTGATATATATATATATATGTATGAAAATGAGGTTGCTTTGGTTTGCATATGTTTCTTTTTCGGTCTACATGAGCTGATTCTTACTGCATGTGACCTTTGCTTCTGGTTTATGGCTGGCCGAATTTAGTTTATAAGATTTTGAAGTCGAAGTCTTTACTTGCTTCTCGGTGCTGTCAAACTTATGGGTAGATTAGAATCTTGATGATGATATTTGGGTGAAAATCTTGGAGGGTGGTTCGGACTCCATGTGAATGATTTTTCTGGTTTATGACTGTCTAAAAATTGGGTCTGTGATCTTAAAATTAAACTATATATTCTGTTTTTATTTTTACTGTCGGTTTTGATGAAATTGAAGAGAGATTATGCGATATACATATATATGGGACTGCACAACGTTGACTCCTTTTGGTGAGTTGGTGATTATTTTGGGAGTATATTTTAATGTGGAAAATGTCAGACTTGCTGGATGTGGCGTGATGTTAATGTTGGGATGTGGGAGCTGAAACTAAATCACATGGCAATTATTTAATTATATATGTAGATATATGGAAAGTATTTTCGGTAAAGTGGGTTTCAAGAGGAAATGTAATTTGAAATTAGGGGACTTCTAAATGGTGGATAGAATGATGTTTACGAAGCTGGAATTTCATAGCAGTAAGAAAGGAATGCTGTAATTATAAATTTTAAGCACCTTGAAAATTTTCAAGGGTGCTAATTCATTGTTGGAAGACTTGGAACAAATGATCTAGTTACACATATATGTCTCGGCCTATGTAGGAATTTGGGGAATGTGCTGGAATTTTGTAATTTAGAGCCTAAAAATGAATTCTTCAACTCAAGAAGAGAAGATAAGCAAAACAAATTGTGAAGTATAAGGGAAATAGATAATTTTATATAATTGATTATAAGGAATTCAAGCGATAATGAATATGTTATTTCAATACAATAGTTAAGCATTTATATACTTGTTAATAAATATATATATATATATCATTGACTATATAATATATAGGATTTGATATTTGTCCAAGTCCATTGAGAAAGGAGCCAAGAAGAAAGCAAGGGGAAGGTAGTACGGAAGAAAAAGAAAAAGATAGTAACTCTTTTCTTTTCTTGTAAGTGTGCATTGATTGCCGCATGCTTGGATGTGTCATTATGCTAATTGTGCATGAGAACATGTAGATTGCCTTTACATGATATAATTTGTCATGAAAACATGCGCTGGTTTCCATTTATTTTGGAATGTGGGCGCGATAGTTAGCAATCAGCTATGTAAGTGCATGATGTTTGTGCATCATTGATTATAGTTGGTCGCAAGGTGTTGTTCTCTCTAGCCTAGGTACCGTGTTTATTTGTGATCTTGTATGATTACATAAAGAAATTTTGTCACTATTGAGATTCTTTAGAATCTCATCCCTTCTTCCATGTCATACAGCAAAAGCAAGTACTTCTAAGGATAAAGGAGTAGTAATTGGTGGAGATTGAAGGTGATGGGAGTTGAAGATCTTTTGTGTATACATTTTGCTTAAAATGCTTCTTATATTTTACTATTTCGGAGTGAGGATATAATGTATATATATTTTGTTATGTAAATATTCCTCCATGAGGAGGTAACTAAAGGTAGATAAACTATAGTGACCGCCATTGATAAGAATGGCCTATATGTTGATATATAATTATTATTATGCCCAAATTGTGTATATGAGTATATGTACTCTTTTGTATGGGCCAGCGGGTTGGGTATTGAATGTTAAGCCCTGCCAATTATATATTTAATTAGTTACAGGTTGATTTGAACGTAAGTAAAAGGAAAAAAAAAAAAATTCTTTTTCCGAGGATGAAACCTAGCACTTAGTGGTTTAAGGTTGACGAAAATAATCCTACTAGTGGAGGTAAGGTGTTACAATATATATACACACTTATGTATGTATGTAAATTTCATCGTTGGTGCTCCATGTAGACTATAAGATGGATCCATGCCGTATTTATACTTTGTTGGTAGGGAGCGTAGCTCCATTTTGAAGTCCATTTTGGTTGCTCAGTACTGTTACAAAATTTTCTGGATGTCCCATTTACAGAGAAAATTTTGCCAAAATTTCCACAAGTGGGTTGTGATTTTGTGAAACGAAACATCTCTCTAAGAACTTTATTCAAGGCTTAAGGGATGCGTGATCTCCCCTGTATCTACAAGCAGGTATTTGTGTTTGCAAACATGTATGAGAACTCTATATATTCAAGGCTTAAGGGATGTATGATCTCTCATATTTTGAAGAGGTAACATCTTAATTTTACATGGTTGCTTCTATTTGTCATATCAGCTAATGGGGTTACCGCAAGTTCAATTTTGTGTTGGCAGGAAGTTCCAGAAAATCCTTATGAGAGGCACTTAAGATCAGAACTTATCCCAGCAAATAAAAGAGATAGGAAAAACAATGCTTGCAAAGGCAAATTGCAACTAATTAAAGCTGGAGAAAGTTTCATCAATATTCCAACGTCTACCATCCCATCCAAGTGGTATGAAGAAGCTGAGAAGAATTAATGCTCGAGCCCTATTACTATTGGACTTAACTGGAGGAATCTTAGATACCATAGTATTTATCATTTCTCTGTAATGAATAGTCATTTCATCCATGTTCTGGCAAGTTTTGATGCTGAAGAATTAATCATGCATGAGCTGATGCGGCGGAATGACTTGCATGTATGGGGAACGAAGTTAGAAGTGGAAATAACAATCGGTTAAATATATTTCAGTTAACATCCCTGTTTGTATCATTTAATTTGAGTATCTTTCTTTAAGCGTAAAATTGTCAATTTGGTCGGCTGTTCCCAGATATTATTTGTTTATACAATATGTATATGTATATTATTCCTTTTAATATGTAATTTTTTAAGTAATGGGTTTAAGTTTTTTAACAGTAACATTTATAAAATTATCTTTACTTAAATTTTTAAGGGAGAATGACAAAAAAAGAAGCTAGAAATTACAAATCCCAAATCAGGTTTGGTAACACAATTTTATTTGGTATTGACATGTCGGAATTTGCAAATGACAATAAATTTTTATTGACATTCCTTATTTGGTATTTACAAAATTTCAGTTTTTTTTTTTGTCATTGTCCCAATTTTTAACCTATTTAAATAAAAAATATTCAAAATATATAACTAAAATAAGTAAATCTGAATCATTCCAAATCAATCCTAATATTTTATATTGATCATGAGTGCAGTATGAGATTCTGGAGTCTGGAGTCAAGTAGGGTAGGACCCAAAAAGTAAAAAGAGCTAGTGATGAAAAGAAGGTTGGATGGAAATATTAATATTGCAGGCGAAGAATAAATGGCAAGCTAGCTTTGAAGGACCATAAGTTTTCTTACGTACATGAAATAGGCCAAAAAATTCTTCTGTCATTGAGGTGTGATACAGATATCTATCTCCCCACCCCAATAATTAATTTAATTATATTAATGGCAGGATAGATGACTTAAAAGTCACATTGACTTTTAAAACTAGGAAAACATTCTTATCATATATAATTAAAAATAATTTTTTAAGCCAATCTAACGCTACAGCTTAATTTCAAAGAGTTTTGGCTGCAGGCTGTAATTAATTGGAAAGATAATCCGTGAAACAAATGGAGCCGAAGTCTTGAAAGGCGTAGTATCTTGCTTTTTACCCTTTATATCTTAATTTTTAATATGTAATTTTTTTCTTGATAAATCATTATTATGTAGTAATTATTATTCGTTGAAACTTAACTTACGAATGAGACTTGTGGGAGTCACAAAAGCTTGACACGGTAATAAGAGGTGGAAGACTCATGCCTCCATGTGCTCTCTTTTGAAAAGAAAAAAATTGAAAAAGATCGTCTTTAATACAGACAAACACACATCCGAAATAAAATGGGGGAAAATTACCAATGAGACTTATATTTATATATATATATATGAGTCATATGAATTTATGAAAATACTCTTATACTCTTTGGGACTCTAATGTAATTACATTCTCATGTAAAATGACAAAAATGCTCTTTATACCCCCTGTTGGTGAATGATGAGATAATCATGCACTTATTATAATGTACATAATGTTGCAATCATTCTTCTGGGCCTTATATCGATATAAGATATCTTCTAAAAAGTTTCTATATAATTCTAAATATAAGTTACTACCCCCGGTCTAAAATATAAGAGCTAGTTAACTAATTTGAGTAGATTAAAAAAATAAGTTGAGTTAGTTATTTGTAATAAATAGATATTGTCTTTCCTAAAATATTATTGCTAATCAAGTTTATTCACTAGAACCACCATTATTAGAAGAAATATCTTGGAAAAAAATAAATAAGTATAAGAGACAAAGTGGATTAAAGTCTTATATTTAGAACCAAAATAAAAGCGAAATAAGGCCTTATATTAAATACTGGAGGTAGTATTTTGCAAAATATAGTCTGCTTAATTTTGTTGCTTGTTCTGTTGTTCTGGACCGACCGACTTATTTGATTGATTTGAGCTCAGCTCAAATTTTCTCAATATGATGCGCCGGCCTTTTATGTACTTTTTGTAATATCTTTTTAATAAATTTGTCTTTTAGTAAAAAAAAAGAAGAAGTTATTTTGCAAAAATACAACAGCACTAAATTCCTTTTTTTTTAAATATATATAAATGTCGTTGTTAAATGTATTGTAAAGAAAGATTATATAAGAAAGAAATGTAGGGCAATAAAAATAGATTGATTTTAGTTCGAAGGTAATTAATGTTGAAACTTGCTTAAATCTTATGAGTGTATAAGTTGGGCTGTATTTATTGGTCTAACTATCAATCCCGGAGAAAACCATCCCATCCATCTCTTGTAACAGAAGTCAAGCCAAGCCTGCCTATCAATATCATATATTATGGTACGTATTAATTTCTCCAGCTATCTTGCCATATCTTCAACCACAACATTTAATATATATCCATCTACTTGATTAAATCTTATGAGTGTATAAGTTGGGCTGTATTTATTGGCCTAACTATCAATCCCCGAGAAAACCATCCCACCCATCTCTTGTAACAGAAGTCAAGCCAAGCCAAGCCTGCCTATCGATATCATATATTATGGTACGTATTAATTTCTCCAGCTAGCTTGCCATATATCCAACCACAACATTTAATATATATCCATCTACTCCCTTGGCAAGCAAAAAAAAAAAAAATCCATCTACTTCCCTAGTCTCATTTATAATTTGAAGAGATACCTTTTTTAATGGTTTTATTTATAAGTTATACCTTTTTATTTTTGACATGGATATATAATTTTGTTTTTCATTTATTATTGTGTATATTGTTATATTATGGGAAAGTTTATATGTATTAAAAAGAGATAGAGTTAGGATGTTATTAAATTTTAAGACAATGTTAACAAGATTAAGATTTTTTTTATGTTGCAATAAATCATGCTCGAAGTAACTTATAAATAAAATCAGAAGAGTAAATTTTCTCACTTGCATTCCTTTCGAGTCGTCAAAGTGATCCCTCATACTTTGCATCTTATCCAAATCCTTTTCTTTCTTCCCGTTTTTAAATCGAAGTCTAGGTGAATCAAGTATCAAGAATTCACCAAGGTCATAACCTCTTTTTAAATTCAAACAACAGTGACAAAATACAAATTATCCACTAACAAAGTTTTCACACAAGAAGATTTAAACCCATCAAACAAAGTCAAATCCTTTCTTATTGACCCAACATCCGAATCCCTTTTTATCTTCATGTTAAAAACGCAATTTATATCTTCAATGTATTTCAGTATTGCCCTGAGCTCCTGAGGGTCGAAGTAGGCAAAGATTCCCTGCCGGCAGAACAGCAGTTTGAAATATATCCCCAGTTTCCTACAATTTAATATATTAATATATGCAATAAAATTTGTAATAACAAATTGTGTTATCTACAGGTTGAGTTCATAGCATGGCCATTAAAACATTTCTAGCCGTGCATACTAGGATTTTTTATTATTTACAAATCTTCACATATTTACAAGTGAATTTAGATTATTTTTGTATTAATTTATTCTAATTTCATAAGTTATTTATCCTTTTAAAGTTGGAAACCAAACTTCAAAATTTATAACTTAATAAAACAAGAAACACTTAGATCCACTTATAAATTTAAGAGGATGATTTGTAAATGTAATAAGTAGGTTTGTCAATCAATTTGTAAAATTTGTCAATCAATTTATAAATGTAAGAGTTTGACTCGTAAATATAAAAATTTGACTTACAAATATTCAAGAATTAAATTTTTTCAAAAGTTTACTTGTAAATTAATTTGAGGAATTGAATTATAATCAAGTTAAACATTAAATAATTAAATAAAATCGTTTTCAAAAGTTAAGTTTCAATTAATTACTACATAAAATCGTTTATCAAGAAAAAATCACATGTTACAAATTAAAATAAAAGGGTAGAAAGCGAGATACTGATGTACTTATTGAGAGAATTTTAATCTTCATACTTTTGATCCGTTAAAAATTATTCTCAAATCTAAATAAATTTAAGGATACTTTGAGTTACGCCAAAAATATAAAAAGAATTTGGCTGCTTTTGCTTTGTGCACTATCTCTCCAGTGAATTACAGTCGCAACTCTTGAAATTAATATGTGTGTGTCCACAAATGTGTGGTTAGATTATCTTAAAAAAAATATTTGTTACTACATGAAATAAATACTCCCCTTTATAAGATTTTAATTTTTGAATTGGTTTGGTCCTTTTGGTAACATTAAGTTTGGAGTTGTTTGAACAATAACTATATTTTTATCAATTTTACTCCTAATTAATTCTATTATATCTCATTATCTTTCGCTTTTTTCTCACTTACCCTCATAAGCAAGGGCATAATTGAAAAAAAGTGCATTCATTATATATTTATTATTTTTAACTTATTTTAACAAATTTTTTAAACTACACAATTCGGTTATTATGATTTTATAAAAGAGATCGGAGGGAGTATCTAATAATCAAATTGTATGGTTTAAAAAATCTCTTAAAAGTAGTTAAAAATAATAAATTTGTAAGAAACATATATATATTTTTAAAATTTGCCCTTATTTTATAAGAGGATAAGTTAGAGAGAAAAATAGTAAGAAAAAAGATGAAAGAGAATATGTATAGCCTTTGGGGAAAAATAATGAGAGAATATAGTTAACTGGGGATAAAATTGATAAAAATATATTGAATGTTCGTACAAATTCAAATTAAATTTTATAAAAAATCAAACCAATTCGAAAATTAGATAAATATAGGAGTGGAGTCTGGAGGAGCATCAGTTTCTTCAGCTGCCCTGCATCGTGACTTCTAAGTCTGCTTTAAATTCTAGCCTGCCATTGGTACAATTAATCAGTTAGTTGACATGTCAATATCCACATTTACGACAGAAGTTTTTTTGGGGCCAATTTCATGTAAAGCCAGCTTGCCATTAATTCTTCACCTGCAATGTTAATACTTCATCTAACCTTTCTCCTCAATAGCATTTTTTTGGGTCCTACGCTACTTAACTCCAGAGTCTCATCCATGGTATCACCTACAATGTTGTTAAATTTGCGAATTTAAATAAACTTATGATAAGGATGTAAACCTAGATAATAAACTCATAAGAGTTTATTCTTATTAATAAATTATTATCAAAAGTATATAATTAAACAATTCAAATATAAAAAATGACATCAATTTCATTTAAATATATTTTAAATACAAATAATTGAAATTAAATTCATCAACATTCATATTACTTATT